AGGAATAAGCTTGCTAGGACCAGATAACCCTTTCGGGGGGCTTCTCACTTACCCCACTGCTGGAGCAGCAGCAGAGCTGGTTTTACTGCTAAACCCATGCGCTGGAAAAGTAGAATTGCACCCTGAGGCTAGCGTTGTCATTTAGTTAGGCTGACATCTTGTGGAAGCCTTCCTAGTGTATTAAGAACAACAAATAAGCTAATTTTACTTGATGTAGATGTGAGCTTCGTGGCTTTGCTGTGGGCCTGGAGGATGCAAGTCCTGGAGCTGCAGGTGTGACTGTGGTGCCCAGGATGCACAGCCACGTGTGTGGCACCATGAGAGCAGCCAGCTCACTCCTCTGCCCGAAGGAGCGGTTAAGTTTTTGCTGGATGTCAGCACATCAGGGACCACTGGAGTATTTTCTGCTTTTTTGCTAGAGGATAGCCTTCGGTGCTGTGTCACAGGACTGTGAGGTGCAGGAGGAGAGCAGAACGTGTGGCTGTGCCATTGCCATGTGCCTTCTGTTGCACAGATGTGCTACCATGGAGAAGCGGGCACAGGAGAAAAAGGCATGTCCAAGGTGATCCAGCAGCAGCAGGCCTGTCTGATGCTTCAGGCTGGCTGCAGAGGCCCTTCAGGGAAGGATGGTGGGAGGGATGGGATAGGGCATCGTGAATTGTCTTCCTGGGAGCAAAGGACACTTGTGTGGCAGCATAGTGTGGTGGCTGTCACCTGCCTGTCTGGCAGCTCTCTGCATCTGACACTGGTTCATGTTTTAATTCCTCTTTGTACCAGGGTGAGTGTAGGAGTTAACCTTGAGTGCTGAGGGGAGCATGGGGCTGCCGTGGGTGTAGCCTGGCCGTGGGGAGGGATGCCAGGGTGGGAGCAGCGTGACGTGGCACCGCGGGCGTGTTTATTCTCGTTCAGGTTCTGGCTGAGCCCTAGAAGGTGCCTTGCAGCCCCCATGCTCTGCTGAGCCGTGGTCTCACCGAGGTCATCACCTGCCTGTAGCAAACCAGTGCATAGTCCTGCTTCCTCAACTGCAGACCTCAGATGTGAAAACACTGCTGAAATTCACGTGTCATACTTCACTGCTCACCCTTCCAGGCCTTGAGTCAGCGCTGTTATATCTGGAACTAGTTTGCAGCCCTGCTGTCATGGTAATGGAGGGGTGTGGATGCTTATCATCTGTAGATGTGGAATTAGGCTAGGTGGCAAGGCAAAACCAAGCATGAGACAAAATGCACGTGGGCACTGAACCTCCTGCCTCCCCGTGAAGAAGGGCTCTGTGGTGGCCTGCTGACATCCCACTGCCTCTGCCTGCCCAGAGAAAAGTGTGCCAGGCACTCATTTCTCCTGTATTAAACGCTGTCATCATGGTGCTGCCTGTTGTACAGACAGGCTGAAGACCTGAAGCAGAAACCTTTCTGCAAACCACGTTTTTTTAGCTAATTATGTGGTGGCTGGCAGGTGGGACAGTGGTGGCTCTCAGTCAGGCAGCAGTGTCACATCTGGCCTGCACCTGGGTGCTGGTTCAGGGAGGAGGGATGCTAGGCTCTGCAGGAATGGTGTGGGGGTTGGTGCTGGGCTGAAGGCACTGTCTCTCTCAATAGCTCTGCAGGCCTAGCTTAACCCAAACTGATGATGAACCTTTGAGATTAACAATGGAAGGTTTTGGTATGTAGCTACAAAACCGTGGCTTTGAGTAACGTGTTGCAGTACATGTGCTGCTGATCCCAGTGGCATGCACTGCCACCCCTGTGCTCTGGGAGCTTTATAGATTGGTTGAGGTTGGATTTTTCTGTGGCAGTAGGAAAAACTCGGTTCTGTGTTTTGTTTAATTCAGATGGCATGCCTACAAAGGGGATGCTTTGTGACAGAGATGGTGATTCCACTTACCTCCCTGTATACAAATCCCCTTTCTTTGCCTTTAGCTGTTAAAACAAACTCTTCTAGGGGTGGCCATGGGAGCTGGGGGTGCAGGGATTTGCCTGGGAATGCTTGTCTTGCTCTCCAAGCAGGGCAGCAGTGGTGGAGGAAGAGCAGAGATTATGGGGTGTGGGGAAATGGGCAACTTTTAACACCAATTCTATAGTTTTTGATAAAAATACGATTTATTTTAAAGTAAATTTGCACTGTGGCTGAATTTATTATCCATGATACTGGACAGAGCTTGATATTATACTGCAGAATGATTGACATGGTCACCATGACCCTGTTAAATCTACTGAATTTATTAGCTGCTCTCTGACTGCAGAGCTTGTGGTTCTCTCAGCAGTGTTCTGTGCTGAATATCTCAAAATCCTATTAGGAATCTGAATATTCAGGCTTTGCTATTGTGAGTCCTCCTAATCCTGTGAATAGGAGAAGCTGATAGCTGGGTTGCGTTGTGCCACCGGGTCATTAGCTGACTCCTTGGTGAAGGGGTAGGCTGGAAATGAGGACCAGTTTTTTAATGGTAAGGCTAATTGATTAGTGGAAGAAGTAAGCCAGAAGTGCTAAACTGCCTTTTAAACATGATTTGTTACTTGAGAGAGGGACACCAGTTCAAACAGGATATGTTGAGTTGTCAGGTGGAATCCATGGGTAAAATTCACAGGGTGTGTGGGATCCTGAACAAAGTGACTGTTATGGTCAGGGGTGGTCTTCAATGTGTTTCTGTGCCCAGGAAGGTTTGTGCTGCCGCAGGCTGTGTAGGTCTTCATGTGCAGCCATGGTCCCACTAGCTGCCTCCACTTGGACCTAACGGGGTTTGATTGGTCCCACAGTTAGTGTTTATGTCTCATTTTATGCAATAGAAAGGTCAAGAAACTTCAGCTGGGCAAAACCTGACATTCTTGTCTCCAGGCCAGGACCTTGGTTGGAATTGGCTGTGATGGTTTAGGATGTCAATGACAACAGGGTCTCTGTTGCCACCGAGGTGTGAGCATCCAGCATGTCTGTGCTGTGTTGCCCCTCTCACCAGCCCTAACAAAGGACTTCTAGCTCTATGTGCTAAGTCAACTAATCACCACAGCTAAATTAGCAGGATATTTTATCCTGCAGCCTTCCAGAGGAAACTGGTCATGCTTTTGACAAGCTTCTGTACTAAAACCTGAATGCCAACAAGGTGGAAATAAACTGGAGCTGCCTTCCTAAAATCTAATGGAGTTAGATTATAGAACTCTTTCTGCACTGATATGTGATGTGGTTTCATAGGGACGGACCAGCAGTCTGAAATCGGTGCTGCACAGGCTGTGACGTGCTTTTTGGGGTGTTTTACATAGTGGTCTCATGCACTGAATGTCCATTAGTGGAAGCCATCTCTTGGTTTTCCTCTCATCCGAAAGGCATCTGGTGCTGTGCACCGAGTCTGTTGCAGGCTGTGAAGCCAGGGACAGCAAAGAGGAATTGATGGGTGGCCTCACTTCAAATGCCTGCTCCTGCTTCATGTTAAAATGGTAATGTAGGGGCACCCAGGGAGAAGTAAAATGGCACTTCTTGGAACAGCTGAATGTTTGGCTTTCTACATAATAGATGAGTATATATCTTTTATCCAGAGATGTTCCAGGAAAAAAAAATCCCACATGTACAGCAAGGTGTGCCATGGGTTTAGTAAAATTGTCATGTTGCTGTGGATGAACTGGTGTGAAACATCAGGAAGAGCAAGCAGCTGCTTTGGCAAGTTGATGTCTGGGAGCAGCTTGTGGCTGGGGTAGTACCTGGGGGCAGGTTTCAAATTTGTGAGTGAATGGCCCTGTGCCCTCTTTAGGCACTGCCACCAGCCACCCGAGCTGCAGTTTTGGGCTCAGCCATCGTATCCAGGGCAGGCTGAATGGGGACTTTCCAGCCCTGACTGTGTCTTGGTTTTCATGTCCTCCAAGCACAGAAACTGCAAACTGTTGGGTAAATAAGTAGCATTAATCTTCACTTTATTTAGAGACTTCAACTTTGATTTTTGAATGTGGAACGAGAAACAGGCCACTGCTGGGTCTGCCAAAGGCTGTGACATCATCAGAACGAGTTCCTGGGTTTAATTTCAGTCACATTTCAGTTACCTTTTGTGCTGACAATCAAATCACTTGATCGGGGAGGTGACAAATCTTCAATAATTCATTAAACTCTAATGACATTACAACATCCTAATCCACCTCCCATTTTTTATTTCTGCTATGGTGTGGACTTGATGATTTTAGATTCAAGGCTGCTCATCCAGATATTTCAAACCAGCCTGTCACCTGGAGAATTGATACCTGGCATACCCTCACTGCAGTGCTGCTAAGTGGGTTTTCTTCTCAACTGGATAATTATATTGATTGTGGCTTAGAACTAAAGAAATTGGATTGTGGTTGCTTAAAATGTGTTTGGAAACTCTAATATAAGATAGATTATACAGAAAAAACTCCCAGCAAAACCAGACCACCATTGTCTTATCTAACACTCTTGACTTGATACAAGCAAGGATATTTTTTACCTAGTGTGTGATGGCAAAACTGCCACTGCTATTTGGCCCCTTGCCCTCTCTCGCAACAGGGCTCATGCGAAATGTGCTGTATCAAACCTTGACTCAATCCATCTCTCTATGGGTGGGCCTGGAGACTTAACTTGAAGTGTTGGTATTCTTACCTAGCAAGTGTTTTGTAAGATTTTTACTTTTGACTTTGGGCTTTTGCCTGCCTGCTCAAGTGCTGTGTGATCTCATTGGTGAGGGTGTGTAGGAAGCGCTGCTGTCCTGCCCAAGCCAGCCAGGCAGAGACTTGTCAGGGAGGTGGAGACTCTTCTTCCAGTGTGCTTGATCACTTTGAAAACCAAAACAAAGTCAAGAAAGAAGCTGACAATATACTTGAAATTAATAATACTGATTTTACTTGGAGACCCTGAATCACAGAATCCTAGAATTGACCGGGTTGGAAAAGACCTCAAAGATCATCAAGTCCAACCCTGCCTTGGTTACTAGACCATGGCACGAAGTGCCACATCCAGTCTCATCTTGAAAACTGCCAGGGACGCTGTTTATCTCTTTGTCTCTTGTTTTGCAGGCTGGACGCAAGGAAAGAAGTGATGCCCTGAACTCTGCCATTGATAAAATGACCAAAAAGACCAGAGACCTACGTAGACAGGTAATTCATGTATGGAGTTGGTACTTGTTGAGGCAAACGAGTGCATTTCTGCATGTTTCCTCCCTTGGAAGTGTTACCTGTGGACGTGTTTCTAGTGGGCAGTGGGCTTGTCTGCTTGTTGATAGTGAATTAAAAGCTAGAAGCCTCCAGTGTGTGGTTCAGAGGGAAGCATGGGGTGGGAATGTAGTCGCCTGCTAACTGTGTAGTAAAGATGTTGGATTCTTAATCATCCTCTTAGCAAGAGAGATCAAAAAACCAACTTCCACCATATGGATTTTGAACATAATCAGGTATGTTTTAAGATTCTGATGGTGTTCATCTCAACCTATTTTATTTGAGGACTGTATTTATGTAGCATCAACCTTTTTTCTGTTTGGTTTTAAAGCAATAAAAACACCCCTTTTCAAGTAAATGTGATTATAGATCAAGTTTGTTGAAAAATGTTTTCATTCTAGTAGGAAAAAAAAGTTAAATCAGCATGTTGTTTAATCAGCTGAGGGAAAGCAGCAAATTTGCTCAGACAAAACCAATATGAGCTGCTAAATCAATATTTGTGACCAAACTGGTGACTTGCACTTCTATAACTAATTCATTTTTTTTAAGGTGATTTAATTTAAGTTGAGGCAAAAGTGTATGGACAAGACTTAGTGCATGGAAAGCCTTGGTCACACAAAGGGAAAAGGATCAATGACAAAAGTAGTTTAAGCTTTACATGTTAATACAGTAAAAGGCAAACAGCAGTGGAATGAACTGAAGAATAACTCATTCTTTTATTTTCATTTTAGCTCCGCAAAGCTGTTATGGACCATGTATCAGACTCCTTTCTGGAAACAAATGTTCCACTTTTGGTATTGATTGAAGCTGCCAAGAATGGGAATGAAAAAGAAGTTAAAGAATATGCCCAGGTTTTCCGTGAACACGCCAACAAATTGATAGAGGTAAGATGGTACCAATTAAAACGAAGTTGTTGCTAGTTAAATTAAGGCAAGAATAGGCAAAAGACGTTTTTCCATTCTGCTGAAACACGTAGCAAATTCTGTAATCACTTTGTTTTTGAAATTTTATTTGAATTAATTTACATACAATTTAATATTTAATTCAGAATGTAAACTTATAAAATGCAGCTGTTAAATAATCCATGTGGCTGTATGTATTATAAAATGTGAGTATATGATATAGGTAACTTGTTTTGCTCCTTGTTGGAGGTGGTGATTTGGAGTAAGGAAGACCATGGCACAGCTGTCCTGCTGGACAGTTTGACCTGTTGCTCTGAAGCCTGGAGGTTTCTTCTTTACAGTCAAATCCCACTGAATATAAACAGGCCTTATGTGAAGACCTTTAGAATGAAGACCTGCTTGTGTGCGTGTAAAGTATAAACAACAGGCAAACAAAAAACTTGGAACAGCAAAACTGATCCCTGCCACCTATTTCTAATGAAAACCCAAATGCTCTGCAGGTCAAACTTCTAATCGGTGGGAAAGCCAGGTTAAATGGGACCAACCTGTCTTAGCTAGAATTTCATAATCGTTAAGGTCAGAAAAGACATCCAAGACCATTTGAGCCCAACCTGTTTCCCATTGCTACCTTGTCAACTAGACTAGAGCACTAAGTGCCATGTCCAGTCATTTCTTGAACACCTCCAGGAATGGTGACTCCACCACCTCCCCGGGCAGCCCCTTCCAATGCCTGACAGCCCTTTCCATGGAGAAGTTTTTTCTGATGTCCACCTGAACCTCCCTTGGCACATCTTGAGGCCATTTCCTGTCCTCCTGTCACTTGTTATCTGGGAGAAGAAGCTGACCTTCACCTGGCTGCAGCTTCCTGTTGAGGAGTTGCATTAAAGGTCGTTAGTCTCCTGTGAAAGGAAGCGGATTTCCCAAGGTGGTGTTTCTACAGAGAACAGCAGCAGCTCATGCCCTGGGTTCGTGGGCATGTCTCAGGAAGCACAGCCTCTTGCCTCTGTGTTCGTGTGAGAGTTCTGTGCCAGTTGATGCTAAATGGCAAAGAGCAAACAGCTGTAAGTATTGTTGAAGAAACATGCAACTAGGAATAAGCTTCAAAATCTCCTCCTGTGCTCTTCGGTATGCAGCCACTCCCTGAGAACAGTCCCAGGCTGGTTTGTGCATTTTTGCTCTCAGTATCTCTGTGTTTGATAATGGAGCCCATGTGTCCTCTAGGCTCATGGGGAATACTTTAACACAGCTTGGCAGATTTAAATTCCTCAAGAGCAAGACTTACTGGACATCAGTAAAAGTAGTTTATGAATCTTGTACAATATATATTACTCACTTTGTTTAAAGCCTTGGGAACTCCAAGTGCAGTGAGCAACTGGCCCAAAGTCTGGGATGCATGATGCTAGTGCAGCTCTTCAGAGCTGTTGTCTGAGCAAGGAAAATGTTTAATTCTTTGAAGGCATCTGTTCTTCACTTCTGGCCTGTTGCATTTCAGTGCTGCCTTCATAGAGCTTCAAAGTCATACTAATCTAAATTGTAAGTAACTAATGTTGTTCTGCAGAGCAGCATGGGGTAGGCAGTGCCGCTTTGCCCTGCCTTGGAAGCAGGATACAGCCCTGGGAACACTTCGAAGTGGGTTTGGTTTAAAGCCTCCATTCTTCGTGTTGCAAGCCTAATTTATATAGAAAATTATTTTTAGGGCTTGTTTACTGGAGAAGTTGCTTGTCATAACAATAGCAGTGCCAGTTCTGCCAGAGTTCTGCCACCTCCTCAGGGGTTGTGTGGTGTCCACACGTGAAGTTTATTGCCGTAATTACGAAGGAGTAGTTGTGTTGCTCTGTCCATGAGCTTCTCTCCCACCCTTGCCAGATTAGCCCTTGCTCGCTGTTCCCTCAGCAGATGTGCTACCTGAGCAGCCACAGTGCCTGTCCTCGCTGGCATGTGAGAGCTGTTTGCACTGACCTTACCTGGTGTGCAGATGCCAAGCTGCAAAGGAGTTTTACAGAGCTCTGTAAAGCCAGACAATCTTGTCTTTCAAGAAAGACTATTCCCCTGAAAGTATACATTCAACAATATTTTTAACTGACATCAAAAGATTCTGCTGAAATGATATGCTGCTACAACAGTTTTTTGAAGGCTTGCTTATTGCTTTTGCTGTCTGAAATGTAATGGTGGCTATAGAGTAGCATGATCTTGATGGCTTATAAACCTCTTCCCTAAATGGAGATGGATTAATAGATAGCTTAGCTTCAACAGAAAGGGAATAATACTCCTGCACAGCCCATGTCCTTAGGGGCTGGAGAACCACTGTGGAGTCATATGCCATGTTAGATTTACTCTGGAGGGAGACAGGTTGGGGTGGGTTACACTTAGAGTGTCTCAGTGTGCCTCTGCCAGAATGGAGAAGGATGTTTGCAATTTCCTATATGATTCTACTTTTGGGCAGAAAACTTGGCTGCAGGTATCCAGAGAAACGACAAAAGATTGTGTAAGAGTAGAAACAGAAGATGTTACACTGGGTGAGATGAGAAGTGATTGCTTCCACCTGCTTTCAGTGGGATAAGTATGCCAGGGAGCTTATTGTAACTACCCTCAGAAGTGCTGCAGAGTGATTGAAGACATCAAATGTGACAGAGCAGCTGCAGCACAGAATGGAGCTGTGTTGTGTATCATGCCCTGATTGACAGGCTCCTGTGTTTGAGACGTAGAGGAGAACATGTCCTTCCCTTTATCGCTGAGCAAGGGGAAAAAAAACCCATGAGAGACCTGCTCTGCACTAGGGAACTTGACACATCCCCCTCTGGATTTGTGAAAGGTTTTACATCTTGGGTTGAGTACCCCTTTGTCCTGTGATCTGGAGGAGCCAGTGCTGCTTTCCACCAGCCACTGAGATATATATACCGAGATAAAAATATATATACATCTGTCTGTCTGTCTATCTATCTATCTATCTATCTGTTTGTTTGTTTGTTTTTATTTTTATTTTTATTTTGAATCTAAGCTGTTGCAGGTGTTAGCCAGCCTAGAGGAGTGGCAGTGCTGGTTCTGCCCTGGGTTAGCACAGACAGTGCTTGCTCCTGCAGTGCAGAAGTGTTTATGGGCCCTCCAAGTACCTATAAAGGGATGCAAGCACATGATTTGGGTGATTTCTTTTTGGAATGTTCCCTTCTTGGCAGCAGAGCCTGCTATGTGGTTCCTAACATCCAGGCAGCCAGATCTGATCAAAAGCTACAATAACCACAAAACTCTGACTTGCCTACTGGGTCTGTATGTTCAAGGGAACCCATACCAAAGCTGTGTCCCAAAGGGCTTCCATCCAATTTGTTTCCCACGTAGTAAAAGACTAACCCTATTATCCTGCCTTTTGAAAACTGAGTAACTAAAATAGTAGAATGAGACTTGTCTCAGTTGAATAATACGTTTCAAAGATAGCTTTCAAAATTGCTCTGTGCTAACAGTCCATTAACTAGCTAGCACTCTGCCTGGGTTTGCTTAAAGCAGTTTAATTCGGGAATTGAGGATCCAATTTAAATGCAGCACACAAGAATAACAGAAAAGACAGGATTTCAGGAACTAACTTAAGAAAAAGTTAAATTCACTTGTGAACTATGAAAGTCTTCCTAATTTGCAGGTTGTGAAGTACGTAGAACCTTCCAGTGGATTTTACGATGCTGGGTGAGGTGAACTTGGCTCTCCAACCTCTAGCTTAGCTCTTGAGTTAAGACAGCTTGGCACAGGGATCCTTAGATTGACTGTTCCTCCCCAGAAGAAACTGTCCTGTGACTTGGTGCTTGTTTTTAATGATGTCACTTAGCAACACGCTGGCTTTTTGTCCATCCCAGTCTTTGAAGAGTGTTTGTGCCCAAGCTGCCTTTGTGCTGCTCCCTGCAGTCACTGCAGGAACACTTCTGCCTGATCTCTGGAGCGGGAGAAAGCCAGGCTTGTTAAGAAGAAACCTTTGCTACACTGTTGAATGCCTTAGAAAAATAAAAGTTAGTTTGTCATTTTGTCACTGTTTATACTGTGTAGTTTGGATGGAAAAGATTTTCAGACCTTAAGAAATTAGGGAGTTAAAAGGTAAATAAGGACAGAGTCCAGGTTAAAATCCTGCAGTAGCTGTTTGCTTGATGAAACTATTTTGGAGAATGTCTTTGGAGTCAGTAGTTCCTTAAAAAGAACAAATAATCTCCTTTTTCTCTGGAACCCAATACTCCTGTGTCAAATGTTTTTCTCAACTTAAATTTTATTTACAAGTCTCTTTCTCAGAGAAATGTTGGTGAGACTAGGGAGGCAAAGCTCTCTGTGGCGTTTCATGAGCATTGATTTTTTATTTCTAATTGCTTTAATTTATTTGAAAAGACTGCTCTGTGCCTTTTTTCAATGCACTGGGCTGTATCTTGCATATGGAGAGGTGATTTTCTCATTTTCAGTGAAAACCCATGAACAGATGCAGACAGCAAATTTATTTGCTTGGAAAAAATCACATTTGGGCACTTGCAGCTATCTGTAGCCTTTGCACTGACATTTCCCCCTTCTGTTGCCCTCACTGTCTAGCCCGATGTCCTGGAGCCATCCTTCAGACCGAGGTCTAAAAATACCCCTCTCCAGGAGACTGAAGCCTTGTACACTTGCTTAATTTTTTGTTGCAATTATCCTGTTTTGCTCAGACTTGAGCCTGTATATTCTTCAGAGAATCTTAACAGCTGCAGGTTTTTTACATGTGAAAGACTTTTAAAAAGATGTGAAGTGGGTAAAACATAGATTGAGTTTAAAATAAAAACTGGGTTTGGGACTAGAGACATGCTGAAGCTTGGCTGTCTTCTGTTCATGAAGTTTAACTTACCTGGGCATGGCAAGTTACCATTCATTACAAACAGAGCATGGAGTGGAGGTATCCAGCAGATCTAAAGTTAGCCTGCTCTGACAAGATTATCCTTTATGTCTGTTAGCCACCTGGTTTCCAGAGTTTCTACAGAGCTTATAAA